GATGGTTCTCTTCCCTGGTGTATTTCAAATCACTGCCCTACGTGGAAAATGCCAACAATCACGTCTATCTGAAAGAGGATTAGTCGGCACTAGCATCCATTTACCAGATTTTCTGTTTTAAATCAATTTTCTTTCAATGTATTCATTTTTTTCCTTTCAACTCAATCCAACTCTCAACTGTTCGTTTTTTGACTTCTGTAAAACTCCCCCCCAGTCTTATTTGTAACCTTGTGGTGACTAAGCTGTTGAAGACAACAGTAGTTGCATGCCTATTGCCTTTTGATCACCACAGATTTTCTCACTAATGCAGTACTTATACACCGCCTCTGTGGCATCACATAAATAAATAACGTCTCCTCAGCAGAGTCTCTTGTGTCGCTTAGAGGCCTTCTCTGCTCGGTCGGGCAATTTTTCTGTTCCAGGAATCTCACAAGGCTGTTTATTTTTTAAATTATCGGCAATTTATACAAGACCTATTAGACTATCACAGCACAGTATTTTATCTAAAGAGTTTGAGCTTTTATACAATTTTGAAAACAAAAAACTGAAAAAACGCATATAGTTGGACTTGACAGCTGCCACAGAGTCCATAAATATCCGACACGGCCCGAAGGTTTGATCACAGTTTCACTCTAACTGCTTAATCTTGACACAATAGCAGGACTTAGTACAGATCTGGGGATTAGCTACTGTTTCACTCCCGGGGTTTAGGATGTTATTGTAAAAATCACTCTGCCAGATTCCAGTAAGACTCTGACACTGTATATGGACACTGACCAGACAGCCTTTCACTAACCTCTTCTTGTCAGGCAGCAAGGGGAAGGCAAGTTGGAAGCACTAAAACAATACAAAAACAGCTGCCTTTGGATGATAAAGGATGAGCACTGTGCAGCTGATTGTAAGGCATGTGAGCTGTTTTATTTTCTATGTGCCTGCACTGTATGTTAGTTTACTGGAGGGACTCTAACTGCTGGGATGCTCCTTTATGTAATTTCAAAATCCATCATTGAGACTAAGGTAACATTGCGCTTTTTATTAGTATTTATATAACAACACGTTTACTATACAAGGCCTGTTGTGAAAATGCATTAATGATGGTGGCATGCAAAGTTCAGTAAGTCTAGTAACCCATGGGGCATAATGGATATGAATTACTGCACAGTCCTCAACGAGGCACATTTCCTTTGCACCAACAGTCATTGTTAAATTGGTCATACATGTGCCTTTCTGTATAATCCTAATGAAAATACTGAATGTAACAGCAGCATTATTTTTCATTCACTTTCCCATCACAGGTGCCAGTCCCCAGGTTGCCATTCAAAGGGCCTTGGCCTGCTTAGCTGAGATAAATGGGCTATTTTCTTGCATTAGTTACTTTTAACGTAAGTGGGAACTGGTTAACTGGTTTATAAATGGGAAACCTGAAGACAGCAATTGTTTATGACTGACAGAGGTTGTGTAGTGCATCATTCTTCCTGCTGCCTGTCCACAGCACATTTATTCTTACCGGGACACCTCATCCAATCTCTCTTGAAATGCAAGCCTGCTGACCACAGCGCCAACACACACCTGCGTGCCTCATTCATAAAACATTACCAAGATCACTAAAAGCACACCTGTGCCTTTCACCTTTCTTTTAACATGGCGTACTTCTGCTATTCATTCATGAAAATAATACGTTTTCTGCATTTGACCTTCCCAATCTCTGACACACGTGAGCACAAGCGTGACTCTCCTACCCCTACGTCAGTCTCATATTATCTCACCGCTCTAGAGCATCACCTGCATTCATATGTGGTTTAATTCAATTTAAATCACGTACCTTCAGTAGCATGGTGAGATTCATTTCACACCAACACAATGGATTTAACACGCTTGTGTAGCTCTTTAAAATATCTGCTTTGAGATACAATTGCATGTAGATACTTAACAATGGCTGTACGGATCTGGAACATCAAGTTCAGTGTCACCATTTACCAGACTCACTGAGCCTGCAAACAGATGGGTATACCACCCAAGTGGTCATTGTGAGTGTATTCATACTGTCTAAACTAGCATAGCATCTGTACATACTGCATAATGCATTTTTCTTTAAATAAATGGTGTGTCTGAGCAATAACATCGAGCCTCTGATGGATTAAAATCACCACTCAGTCTAATGTGATTGACCCTAATTTTAATAGCATTTCTGTGGACTCAACAACCACAGCAGGATAGTAGACCGTTATACAACAGAAAACACGCTGTGACTACATGCACTCACCTCTAATAAAGGGCGTGATTGTAATTATTTGTAGCATGGCAAATTAATAATAGGAGTTAAGCACCTGGGAGAGCGATGAAGGGAAATCTGCTGGGCTGTGTGCAGCACGAGCTGTGAAGGAGAGACAGGAGAGTGACCGAACTCTGTCTCATCTTGGCTATCACATTACTTCAGCCCTCATGACACATTGAGATGCTGGCCTCTCTATGTGGCCCCCATGTCTCTACCTCTACTCGCTAACTATTAAAGCGATAAGCCTCTTCTTCATACCAGAGCCAACTGTGTGATAGCACAGGTGTCCTCCTAAGACTCTTTTTTTTGGATGATGGTTTGACATATATGAGGATAGACATGAGTTACCAGAGGAGGTAAGCCTGGAAATGTATCTTTATAGAGTAAAGATAATGACACTGCAGGCATCATGTGGTTTCTTGCCGTAGAGATGGTATTTTATTGGACTTACATAGTTAGTTGTTTGTTGTTGCTTGCATTTAGAGCTATATCAACTTTAAATTAGACTATGTAATTTGTTACAAAGAGTAAGCATGTTTTCATCCTGTAGGCACTTTCATAATTATTTTTTTTTTGTTGTTGTTGAAATTTTTCAGTTCCAGGCTTTTAATCCCGCTGTGTTATGTTCTTGTTATTAGGGTGTAGGTAAGCAACACACCATGTTTTCTTCTATGCAGTGTGATAGCATGGAGAATGTTATTAATACAAATTTAATGTGATAATAATATACACTGATTTTGCACTGTTGGCACACTACTTCCGCAGCAATTATCCAAAGTGGAATAACTTCAAAAAGTGAGGAAATGCAAGTGCTGCATATTTCTGAAATAGCAAATTGAAAAGACTTCACACGCAGCTTTAATGTGTTTCATAGGCTCTCAGAATCAGTCATGTGCATTAACTGGTTTGGCTGGCTATGCCTTTTTCAGATGGTAGTCAGGTGCCTGGAGCCAGGAAACAATGCTCTCCACTCTGTTTGTGTTGTGATGCTTTGTTATGGCTTTGTTCTGCTCTGTTTGTCCTCTCAGTCATTTGAAGAGTGGACCTCACTGACTGAGCTCTGAGAAACACTCTCTCTCTCTCTCCTCCCTCTCATTATGTGACAGGTTTGCAGAGTATAGTTTTGCCAAGAAAACTAGGCCACAGTATGATTTTGCATGTGTTGCTCAACCAATAGCATGCAGCATGTTTCAATGTGCATCTATTTATCACAGAATCCTGCAGGCATTCACTGCTCCAAATTTGTTTTTGCTTGAAATCTATCTATAACAGCATTTTATTTGAATTCATGTCCCAAAACTTCAGCATTTTCTTAAAAAGTGCTGCCTCCTGAATAACTAATATATTAAAAGCAGGAATAGAAAAAAACCAAATATTCCTTGAAATAGTTATATTCTTTTTTCTGATCACAGTGTAGAATCTTAAGGATAACAAAACAGATGTCTGGGCAAGGGGCTTTACAGTGGTATGAAGGCATGAGAGGCACCTGTTATTTGGTTTTAGCCTGTTATTTTCCACTGTGAGTGTGAATAAGCATTTTAACACGATGTCGTTTTGCTAAGCAGCTCTAAGAGTACTGCAGGCAAAAAAGAGGACAATCAGATCTGCCTTGTTGTAGTGTGAATAGTGGAGGGTGCTATTGGTTACAAGGAAACTAATTTATCGCATTAATCCTTCATAGGTCTCTTTTCAAATAGTGGAGTTTGTTTTACTCTGCTGTTTCTATGCTTATGTTTGACCTTGATTGTGTATATAATGAATTTATGTGTGTGTGTGTGTGTGTGGTCGTGTTAAATGGGTAGGCGTGGTCAGCTGAGATCTACTTTAGCTCAGAGTCCATGGTAACACAGGACTGCAGACGGGGAGACTTGGGGTGGGTGACTGGGGTGTGGAGCAGAAACCTGAAGAGGCAGTGTACACAGAATAAAGGTAGCATGGCAATGGTTGTATGGGAAGTACACAGGTTAGTATCCATGTGACATCAGTCAATTTCCATTTGATGAATACTGGTAGAGTATTAAAATTGCAATTTTTTATTAAATAGTCCAATTATTGTTGTTATTCTTCATTCTTTATTTTCTTCCTCATTTGTTTATTAAAATAATAGCTAAGCAGTTTGGGAAGTTCTACAAGTTTGAAGAGAAAGTGGACTGATGTCATTGTCATGTCAGTGTGTTAAGTGTGAAACTTTTTTCTCTCCAAAGTAAAAAACTATACTTATGAGCACCTCTAAACCTCATTATGTGACACATTGTATCTTGTTTGTTTAATCTGTACAAGTGCAACAGTTTAAACCACCCACCAAACAGTTCTGTGCAGAACTGAAGCACAGGTTTTGGTATAGTTCTCTGGACAGACACAATGATATCATATCAGGCGATCTATAACCCATAAAACCATACATGTCTCATTTTTGTTTGTGTAAGGATTAAACAAACAAGATACATGTTAATTAGTGATTGATGGTCGACATGTTTTTAAACAAGCTCTGCTAGCTGTTTCATTCTCCCATACCTAGCTTACAAGCTAAGGTAGGCCAGCTCCACACCTAATGCATGACACTGGTTTCAATCTTCTCATCTCTCGCTTCAAGAGAAAGCAAATTTGCATATTTTCCAAAACAAACTATTACTATCACATCCATATATGTCAATGATGGTGAAAGTGCTCTTCTTTGTCTTAAACGTGTCATTTATGTCTCTTCTCTGTGTCTATGTGTTGGCAGACTCTGAGGCCTTCAGTTGTCGGGGAAATATCACGCCACAGGAGAAGCAGAAAATATTTTATCGGGAAGATCAAGCAGAACAGACCAATATCGAACTGAGGTGGAGGGTTGCAGAAGCCAAACAAGGGCAACGCAGAACAAGAGCCATGTGGGAGGAGAGTGAGGCGGTTTTGCTATTCGCACGTATCAAGCCCAAACACTTTCTCTACTGACATACGCTGAACGTTCCGCAGCCCTCCTCCAGAGCTTTTCCTCAGGGGGAGCTCCTGCTATGAACCCCAGCTCCCTTGACTTCAGCAGGCAGTCCAACCTCAGTGCTAGGCGCTGTGTGGGCATCCCACAAGTCTGGGTTCTGCCCACACAGGACTCACAGACTGCCCCTGAACAAAAAGAATGAAATACTCCTGAGTCACTCCTGTGTGGTGGCTCTTCTGTCTAGTGTTAAATTGGTCTGTTGGGAAGTTCTGTCTACCTCTTCCCCAGCAAGCACCTACCTTTAGTGAAAACCCTCTCCAACTCTTCCACCAGCTACTTTTTGGTTACCACTTCGTTGTAATTTGCTTTCCCATCAAGCAGCAGCACGAGTTCCTTTGTGCTCACCACGTGGTGGAGGACCATGGGATGCCGTCAGAGCTCGGAGGAGAAGGAAGCGGCGCGGCGCTCGCGGCGAATCGACCGCCACTTGCGCTCAGAAAGTCAGCGGCAGCGGCGTGAGATCAAGCTATTGTTGCTGGGTACCAGCAACTCGGGCAAGAGTACCATTGTCAAACAGATGAAGATCATCCACAGTGGAGGCTTCAACCTGGAGGCTTGCAAGGAGTACAAGCCCCTGATCCTGTACAATGCCATTGACTCACTCACCCGCATCATCCGAGCCCTCACCACCCTCAAGATCGACTTTCACAATCCCGATCGCGCTTATGATGCTGTGCAGCTCTTTGCCCTCACAGGGCCGGCGGAGAGCAAGGGGGAGATCACTCCAGAGTTACTGGGGGTCATGAAACGTCTGTGGGCTGACTCAGGGGTCCAGGAGTGCTTTCAACGATCCAATGAATACCACTTAGAGGACAACACTGCCTACTACCTGAATGACCTGGACCGCATTTCTGCAGCTGAGTACATCCCTACTGTAGAGGACATCCTACGATCACGGGACATGACAACCGGCATCGTGGAGAACAAGTTCACCTTCAAGGAGCTCACCTTCAAGATGGTAGATGTGGGTGGACAGCGTTCGGAGAGAAAGAAGTGGATCCACTGCTTTGAGGGCGTGACTGCAATCATTTTCTGTGTCGAGCTAAGTGGCTATGACCTCAAACTCTACGAGGACAACCAGACGGTAAGAAAATGTGTTTAAAAGGGCCCACATTTACACTCATAGAAAATGTAGGCCTATGCCTATGCAGACATGAATTTACAAATACATGCTTGCATACAGCAGCCACTCACGCTAATGCAGTGGTTAGAATAAAATAAGCACAAACAATTTTTTATGTATTATATTATTATATATTATTATTATTAAGTTTGTACAAAAATTCTACAATTTCTACATTTTTACAAAAGAAGAAATCTTTATTTCTTGACTGATATCTTTGAGTTACGGCAATGATTTTTGATGAATGAATAATATTTCTATCCAGATTCTAAGTAAATTAAGACATATTAATTTCACGTTTTTATTTACCAGATAAGTTGTTTTTCATATCGTAAATAAAGGCAAAATGTTATATCACTACTACCAAACAAGTAATATTTGTATATTATGGTTTGACAGTTCTGAGAAGCAAACGGAACACAAGCCTGATGTGTTACTTCCTCTCTGTACATCCCCGTCCTCAATACAACCATGCTGTGGTTACACAGATATAAAGTGAATTACATTACAAAGAATTACATTCTTTTATTTGTTTCCGTCATACACATATTGATACAACATATTGTTTTTAGATAGGGTCTATTTGAAATGAAATAGGGGTAAGTCCAAAATCACTTTTGGAAACTATGTTTTTTGATGATTACTTGCAATGAGGACAATAATATTTCCAACAAACGAAACAGTTTGAACATTGAATTTAATTTCTCAACAATTTGAGATAAAAAATATAATTGTTTTGCCAGCATTACATTTTAATAGATCAGTGCATCAAGTCTGCCTTTGTCGCTTTTTTTTTTTTTACTTTAATGGAAACAAATGTGCAATCTTTAGCTCACTCAAATATCCTTAAACCTCCAAACCTCTCAACAGCAAATCATTTAAAGTAGGAAAACAGTCAGACCTACACAAACACGTTCATTCTACTAAATGGACTTTTTAGTGGACCTTGAGTTGAACAGGTCTACAGGTATATGATGCAACTATGTAAAACTTTTAGTCCATGTAAAAATAAAATGTCTACCCAAATCAGGGGATCACAGATTTCTAATATCCCTACAGGGCATCTAGGACTCTATGGACTCTTGTAATCATTTTATTATTATAATGTTACTACATGCAGTAATTCCTCTACAGTTCATTCAGTTTTGTTTAATAAACAAGTTGGAAAGCCTCATCCAAATGTTATGGTACTCATCCAGAGTTCTTTGGCCAGGGGCGTGAGAGGCCTGATTTTGTAGAAATGGCTGAAATGCATTCACTCTGCCTTAATGTGGTAGCAAAGCTATTTTCAATCTGCGTGAATAAAGAGAGTGGCCGGTGTTTGTTATCTCCTCTTCTTGGTTGTGGAATTTGAAAAGTTTGCTCCATAGCATATCCATCTTCTTATCTGAGTGTTTTGAAATAGCTGGGTAGTTATTGCTTGTTTAACTGCCTTTGATAATGGAAGGTCAACAATAGATACTATTTACTTTTTTTAGTCTATACCAACTATGAAAGGTCTGCTATTTCACAGGTTTACCTTGATGTCTTTATTTAGTCTCCACAAGACATAACTTAAATACAGAGGAAACACTGTCATTGAACTGGCCCGATAATTCATGGGTTACCAGGATAAAATAGGATGTACAATATGCAATGTCGGAACATGAAATCAATTAGTTTTATAGGTTAAAAATAAAGTCTGAGGAGAAAAATGCACTGTGGTGTTAATTGAGTTCACAGAATAAAGTGTGAGACTGTACCTGTGAGAATTAGCAGATTGTGAAGACACTGTGTAGCAATGGGAGTTCACAGGTGCTAGAAAAAACAACTTTTATTATTCTATCATAGGAGATGAAGAAGAAAGCAGTGGATCAAAAGTACCAGAAAGAAAGACATCCTGAAATAAGAGCAGCCATCTTGCTGTAGAGTCTACTGACATTTTCATAGTTGGTTTGTGGTTGAATTATTGACTGCCTTCACAGTTTTATGTGTTCTAACACATGAGGCTAAGCTAAAGATCTCTTTGAACACACCGACAGGGTTTCTTCAGTTGGTCAATGGTAAACTTCAGTGGCCAGACTGCGACATGCTGCCTTATCTGATTCAAGTGAAATCCTTTCATAAATAGACTGTCTTTGTGTTGCCATTAACTGCATTAGCACAGAGAATCACCAGATATCAATTGAATGAAGTCCAAATGGTACATATTGTACATTTTAGATTTAGATGCTCTTTGAAGTATTTTAGATACGCCATCATTGTTTGTATGTTGATGCCACTGCTGGAGTGTCCGTGATGAATATACACACATAGTTATTCTTCATAACAAGATTGATGCTATCCACAGGCAGCAATACTCTCTTGTGTGAGGGTTAATAAAAATTCCTTCTATAAAGTTGTCTATGCATTTCCTAACCCACTTATCTTATTCAAGATGAGGGGTTAGGGCCTTTTCCCAGCTCACACTCGGTGAGAGGTGGGGTCCACCCTGAGCAGGTTGCCTGTCTATCATCTAACCATGCTCTTAAGCTGATGATACACAGAGCAACTCTAAGAGCAATATGTTGTTGGGCAATGTTGCTGTCAATGGTAATGAGTAAAGATTATTGCTGTAGACATGCACAAGAGACATTAAGTAGCTTAATGTCACCATTTTCTTGTTCATATTTTACTACAAAAATACTCATATTTACATATAATATTTATTTATTAGATGAAAAGACAATACATATGGCAGAAATGTGCATAATCTTGATGTAGGATGTAGTTAAAGTATGACCTACACAGATGATCTACTCACACATATTTCAAACTGAATCACACTATGCATGGGGCATGTATTTAGTCGGACGCAATCACACCACTGCTGAATAGATTTGTAAATATGAACCATTCAGTGAGAACACATACTCATGTCAGTGCCATGGAAACACTTATCTCATGGATGAAACGTTGCAGCCATTTGTGGCATAATGTAGGCAGAACATTTATACAAAAGCCCCATGCAGATTTATGAAAGAGTACCTGAATACTTATCACATATTGGTGGCCATGCAGGACATCGGGCCACACACATAAATCTACACGACAATCAGGCAAACAGCGTAACATAGCAGCAATTCAAAATGTCACATGACTGTACACCTGATCTAAATGTTACTGGATTGAGTGCAGGTATGTCGCTGTGGTTCCTTCAACATTGACAGAAGGCTCCATCGTTAATTCCTATGTCTTGGAGCTGACCCCTTCCATAACCACTGTCAGCTGACCCCAACACTGTTACCTAACGCATAGTCTAGCCTCTGCATGCTCAATACATTCGCAATGTGAGAAAGAGGAGTGTGTTTGTATCTGTGTTCTGAATGTGTCTGTGGTTACACATTCTACATGATATACCAGCTGACGGGGAGTGTAACAGCAGTTCTGTTAAGTTGGATTAAGTGTCCTTTATGATTTAGGTTACGTACTCCATGGTTAATACAATGTGAAGGTAAAGGATTGGGTCATTAAACTGACCCGGATTCAGATGCTAAGAAAGAATCATATGCCTACTGGCAAGCTACTGAAGTATAGAAAATAAAACAGAAACACAACAGATTAGGAAATACACAGACAAAATGAGATACTGCAAATATATAGAGGAATTTTTACAAATTACAATTACAGTACCCTACAGAACATGTCAAAATGCTTGAACCATCTGTATGTTTGGCAGAAAACATGCATTTCCAACACACTAATAGCTATGTTAATAGTGAAAAACATGTCAGCTAGCAAGCTCAAAGCACAGATGAGGTAACAAGCGAACATATTTCTATATATATCTACCAGAAAACAGATACTGACAATCAACAAGAGAAAAATAGCTTCTATCAGTATATTAATCAGACTGATCTCAGGGGAAATGTGTACACGTTTCATGTATGTAAGAAAATGGTTTAGTCATCTATTTAGTCACCTTGTACAAAAAGATGGCTGCGCAGGCTCAACAGATTTTTAACAAAAACACATCCTTGTCAGACCCTTAATAATAAAATAACCTAACCTCAGTTTGACCCCATAAAACAGCTGGGACAATATTAGAAGGCACTGTGGAGGCATGACCTTAGTCACATGCATTGGTTTAAACCTCCCATGAAGAAACATCTCAAATGTTGAATACACTTGCAGTAAAGATGTTGTACAGCATAATTAATGTCTCTTTTACAATAAAAACAAATAAAATGTTATAATGTTAATTTCAATTCCTATATTTATTTAAAGGCAGCTATCATTTTAATTAGTTTTAAATGTTCTAGCTGTTGTAGTTGTTTCATAATCATATTCAACAACATGAAACACTGACATCTGATTAAGAGACTTTCCAATCCCCAATGTGAGCATAACATGAACTTGCCAGCAAAGATATCTATGACCTTCATTACCTTAGTAACATGTATGTAATGTATTCTTTTAACAGTTAGTTAACTGATGTGAAATAAAGGTATGTGATACTGATAATGATTTTGTCGGGGGAAAAATCAAGCAATAAATCAGATGAAACAATCATCTACTTTCTGGACCAGAGGTGACTCATCAATTTTTGTGCAAGTGAGTCTAGACCCAGTCTAAGTTGCAAGCACGGAAAATCTGTGAACGATAGTAGCATAATGCTTTGTTGATTAGCATGTTTGAATTGAGGCTCCATGAATTATGTCTTATCTAATGGAAAACAACAGGACTGGTTATGGAAGTTGAAAAGCACAGCCAAAGGTGGCAAAGCTCTGTGCTTTGTTGATTCAGTCGGTCATGCAACAGTCATTTTGAATTTTGAGACATTCATTCGTTTTTATATGCATGCGTATGTATGATGATCACTGATTAAGATCTGCACACATATTCAAAACTGTTTCTGTTGCTTTGAAGGTCCTCATTAGAGGACAAGGTGTCATTTTTATGATGATGGCTTGTTATGTTCACTGATCATCTTAGTGAGCTTAACCTTCAAAGCTTTATACAATGTCACACGAGCAGAAAACAAACTTCATCGATCAGATCCACATGGTTCAGTTTCAATGCACCAGTTTACACAAGACAGAAAATACACTAGAATAATTACAGTACAACATTTACCCATCAACCCATTCCCTGATGCATTTTCCTTGTCCCATCCCTGTCTTCATAATGAATCGGTTGCCATGGTTACTGTTGCCTAGCAACAAGCCAGTCAAATGCTCCTAATCCTGCGCTGTTGACAGTGAGCTGTGACTAGGGAAGGGAGGATGAGAAGTGGAAAGGAGGGGAGAGGAGGGGAGGGGGAACAAACTGCAGCTCTGAAGAGAATAGATATGAGGTGTATATGTGCATGCACGTATTGTGTGCCTGTGCGAGTGTTTGTGGGTGCGGTAGTATGAATGCATAACGCAGGTTTATATGCAATGGCTGAGGCTGAGCAACTGCAGTGAATTCTGTGTATGTGAGGTGAAAATGAAAAGCCTGAGCTTAACATGTGCTAAGCTTGTGTTAGCCAAACACCAAGGTAGACACTGACTGCAGCGTTAGCTCTATTTCTATTGTTTCAGTTACTATTTGATTAATCTATCACACGGGAATTAATTGCCCGTCGGATGAAAGAAGACTGGAAATTAATTACTGGTGTTTGATGTTTTTATGTCAAAGTTTCTCATGTGCACTTTTCCTTTTAAGCCACAGCAAAGGCGACATATGAAGTGATCTGAATGTAAAATGACAGTTTCAGTGGCTTTATCACACCAATCTTCCCTTCAGAAACACAGAGACGGGTGTCAGAACGGTGTCTCAAAATGTATATAGGAATATTCTCCCCTCACGCAGCATATTATGCCTAATGAATTATCAAAGACATTACTATCATGCAATTCATTTGCTTCATATGACATAATGGTGTATCCTACTAAGCTATGCTCACACAGGTTTCAATGTATCCCCTTTAATATCTAGCTATCGGTCAACTAAACTGTATTGAAGGATTCCCAGATTCAATTTCTCTTACTTTAACTTTAGTGCTATTAGTATATTTTTCATCATTTTAGGTTTGGCTGTTAGTAGATGCAGAAACTGATATTGTTTTATTCACATCATACCCATTTCAAATAAATAAAGATACAGAAAAAAACTATGTTTTATTCTGAGCGTGAACAGGTTTATCTTTAGCTGGACATTATCTACAACATATACAGAAATTTGTATTTAAATGTGATTAGCTGATAATCAAAAACGTAATTTTGCTGAGAATCTAGCACAAGAAAAATATTACGTACAACTGTAATGTGCTTATGTTTGTTTGATTGTGTATTTGTTTGTTCTAATCTAAACCCAGCAGTGTTGCTGCCCACAGTAACGGAGACATTAGTAATTAAACAGAGAGGGAAAACAGAAAGGGAGCAGCCTGAATAATGTAATTTCCAGGTACAGCAGAAAAAACGTGGTGACAAAGAAAATCATCTCTGTTGTTAAGTGCAAAGCACTCCTTCTTGTAAGGCAGTCACATTTAAAATGAACCTTAATGAATTAAGAAAGGGTGGCTGCACACTTGAGTGATTTGTATTTATGGGGAAACAAAGCAATGACACTGGGATGAACTTCCTCATTAATACTAATGCTTAAATAAGCCCTGCGCCTCTGGACTTCTTTGAGAAGGCAGCGAGGGTGGAAAAAGTCTGTGTGGGTAGGTATAAAGAAGGAGGTTCTGCATGCTTTAGTGCTCCAGGATGCTCCCGCTCCCCATTACGAAACTCTTACTGTATGAGCACTGTAGTGGCCAGGTGAAGAGACTAGAGACTCCTTTGGCTCAGCTGTCTGTCTCCTGCCATACTCTCTCAGAATCTGGGCTTTTGTTTTGTCATGCTGGAAAGAAGAGGGGTGAGGTCAAACAGTCTGACATGACTTTGTGTAGTGTACAATGTTTAGGGGCCAGTCTTAGTCCCCGGGGACACTAGGAAAGAAGAGCTTTCAATCTGAAAAGGTAACAACATGTGACAGAACGGGAGCAGAGAGGAAGACAGATGGATGAAGAAGGAGCAGTTTGCAGGCACAGTCTTATGCAATTTGTATTGAACAAATGCCCTTTTTTTTTTTTATTCTCCCAGTGGTGTGTCATTTTAGTTGTTTAAATTTGATAATTTATTAGCAAAGCAAAAACTATTGTGGATTTTTTTCTACAATATCCAGTGGCTAGTTTGCAGTAGTGGTTCAACAGACCTCAATATATTTTCAATATAGTTTCCCTTCAGGGATGTTTTTATTATGGGCTACTCTGTTGAATTTGACAAACAGTTTTTCTCTTAAAAGGGACCAACATACCCAAATAACAAATTACACGATTGTTTAAGACAGTATTTTTAAGTTAGCTGCTTTTGTGGACATAAAAACCAAATTCAACATGGTAGTATAGTTGTTTTAACCTACTTTACATTAGTCATTGTAAAAAATAATGTGGGGCTGCATATAAGGGTTAAATGCAACTTTGGTTTCTCATAACTCATTTCATCATTATCTGAAAATAGTGCACTTACACCACTGAATAATCAGGGTTTCCGCTATTCCCTTCAATATCTTTTTTCTTTTTTCATGCTGTGCAGATCTTGTGATTTGCTCAGAGCATCCTGTTGTTTCTGTAACCTTTTAAACAGCAGTCTTCCTTCTGACAACCTCCCAGTCACAAGCTACTGGCCAGTCGCCACATGCCAGCAGCTGCCATGAACAGATCAACTTTCTTTTTCATTCTTTTCTCTTATACATTCAATGTCACATGAGAAGAAAGAAACATGTATATACACAGAAGCACATAGCATTTTTCTTTAGCACCAAAACCCAGCACATTTTACCCTTCTGCAAGTTAAATGTGGAAATTCAAAAATGTTGAACAGAAAGGTTGAATTTCAAATATCCTTTCCTGCATCTAGTGGAATCAAATGAACGAAAGAAAACAATTTTAATCATTGTCACCTGGGAAAGGTCCAGTTTAATGTTGATACCAGTCACATTGTTCTTGGTTTTGGATCTTATGACTATCTCATTTATCTGCAGGACATGATCAGACATCAGTGATTTCCATTACTGAGTTGGAAATAAATCTTAGATTTTTACTTTATTTTAAAGAAAAAAGAAGTCAACACATAATGTGGGCCTACTGGCTATAAATGATAATGCACCAATATTTGGAAACCCTTTATTAAGACGTACTAATGTAGCTCAAGGCAAAAGAAGAATGAAGCCAGACCAGTTATGGTGCACTGGAAATGTCTCAGTGGCTCAGACTTGGAATAGAAGGTTTGAGCAGTCTTATCTATCTGCACACTCTTTGACCCTGCCTCCACATAATCAATTCAAATGTTCATATAGAGAAAACAATTAGAATTATTCTTCATAAGAGTTAAATGCTCCTGCAATGAGTAAAATTAAGACTGACATATATCTTTTTACAGTTTTGGACTTGGAGAGTGGTGGTAAAAGAAGTAATCAGCTGTTTCAGAGGAGAATGTGAGAGTTCAAACTCAGGTCTTCAGCTGTCTGAGACTCAAGTCTCTGTTGACATAACAGAGAAGCCTTACCTTTGGCTAGTCAAGTGGATATCTGTGGCTTGTGTTGGTTGACTTTAGATTGCCTCTTGTCTTCTCTTTATTTTCATCCTCAAATCTTGCCGTGACCTTCCATGGTCTAATTTTCTCTTTAGGGTTTTCCCAAATCACATGATTCATGCTTGTGTGAATGAGGTCTGATTGTGTGATTAATTGGGATGATTTGGGTTGTTGCTTCAAATACTGAATTTTTCTAAGCTGTGAAATCATTTCCTTATGGTCTGATCTCTTTCTTATTTCCTTTCTCTTTCCACATCCACACAGAGCCGTATGGCCGAGAGCTTGCGCCTATTTGACTCCATCTGTAACAACAACTGGTTCACCAACACGTCGCTCATCCTCTTTCTCAACAAGAAGGACCTGTTGGCGGAGAAGATCAAACGCATTCCTCTGACAGTGTGCTTCCCTGACTACAAAGGTCAGAACACCTACGAGGAGGCAGCCGTCTATGTGCAACGGCAGTTTGAGGACCTCAACCGCAACAAGGAGACCAAGGAGATCTATTCGCACTTCACCTGTGCCACTGACACCAGCAACATCCAGTTTGTGTTCGACGCTGTCACGGACGTGATCATCCAGAACAATCTCAAGTACATTGGGCTTTGCTAGGACCTGGCGCTGGGTGGGTGGGGCTGTTTGGGGGTGGGGGTAAAGCGGGCTGCTTGGCAGCAGTTGGCCCGCCATCAGGCTGGATAAACAAAAGGCATATCAGTCTGCCTGACGGTTTATCTATTTAAAAAGGTGCAAGAGAGAACTACAAAGGAAATGAGGAAGTAAGATGGTCAGGGATGGACAATACTGTAGTGTTTCACTTGAAACAACAGAGCTGATGGGCCATGGTCAAGATGGGATTTTTACCCAATGTGTTTGCACTGAATATGCTGAGTATGCAGAGACAACCAAACACACAAACACACACACTGACACACATCCTTACGTTTGCTCTCACACACACACGAGATCTTTGGATCAACAGTCAAGCACTTGTTTGACAAGGCAACACTGGAAATTTTAGACAGCTACCCCTACCTGCCTGCCAAACCCGAGGTAGTAGGTCTGTACTGGTGGTTTGCAGTTACTTTTGTCTCCTTTATTTTACTTTGCCTGAGTCAATTAATGCTGCTTTACAAGAAGAATTTTGACTAAATCAATGTCCTCTTTTGGATTTCACCCTAACAATACTAGTGAGAGCACCTGATGAGACGTGTGGAAGTCCTGTATTACTGAAGGGGTGGGGGGGTTTGTCAGTAGACATGATGTCGCAGGGTTTCTGCCTAAAAGAGGAAACTGCCACAGTGTAAAGCTGAAGTGAAATATGTTTTCTACACACTATTTCTGTTTTGCCCCATGGTTGACTCTAATGTTGTTCTAAATGTTCTTTCGCCCTCTTTCTGTTATCTTTTTTGTGCTTAAAAAAAAAAAAGAATATGTCTCGCAAACCTGCCTTTTATAGCAGGTCACTGACTTATAATACCAGGAGAGTGTTATGCTCGGTAGAGTCAAAAGTATTCTTTATGATCATTCCAGTTTCCAGCAAGAGACAACAAAAACAGTGCCAAGATCAATTTGTAAATAAAACCAGATCCCATCCATTACGTACATTTTATTGTTTTGTTTTGTTTTTATGGACAAAAACATTAAAACATGCATGATTTTGTTACTTTGGGATACTAATATATTTTATTTGGAATTAAGTTCCTTTTTCCTTAGGTTTAAATAATATATTCCCAAAAATATATATAAAAGTCAAACACTGTGTACGATTGTACAGTTGTCAGAGAGGAATCTATTGAAAAGAGTTATATCAATATAATAACGGTAATTTGATATTATGGTGATGTTGATGATGATGGTGAAAAAGATTACAATGATGATGATGATAGTGGTGTGGATGATTACTACGATGACAAGGAAAATTTCACTACAAAGTTAGCATGAGAGGAGAAAATGGATCGAAGGACAACATGACGAAGAATGAAGAAGCTAAACCATGAAAGTTCAATCCTCCTTGCATTATCTAAGTGGAAATTGTTAAACAGCCAGTCAGTATGATGTGTAAATATACTGTAAGGTACACTCTTTGTTCAAAGAAATGAAAATAAAGGTTGAGTTGGGTTACTGTCAGAGAGATAAAGAGAGAGCGAGAGAAAGAGAAGGAGGAAAACCCCACTCCACTCCTCCTCTTACCCTTTCTTTTCTGTTAAGAGGGTGACGTGCAAGCAACTCAGCTAAGGGCTTCAGGCGTAACTTTACAGGATGTCCACTTCAACAAAAGACAAAACCATTAAAAAAGAAGTATAAAAAGGACATTAACTATGAATAAAACAACTTATGCAAATTTTCATGGTGTAGTAAATGTGTTTTTGGGTGGTGGTTGTGTCAAAAGTGCTTTAAATGTGTTTGGGATTGGGAATGTTCATAGATGATGGACTGGCCCTCCATGCCAATGATCTTATTCTTTCATATTATGCTGCATCAAATGCTTTGGAACATGGAAATGAACGTACTGTCAGAAATCCTTGCTTCCATCCTCAGTGTCCAAAATCATGGCATAAAAAGTGTTTGTCCTTGCCATACAATGTAGCCACTGGGGCAGGAACAATTCAGACATAAAGTATGCAATTAAATTACTCCTGAATGAACTTGGCCTATGTGTGATAGTGTGACAGTGTACAGTGTTGTACAGATCCCACTCTAATTAGTGTATAAAACACAGCTGAGACAACATGTCTGCTGAGAGGGTCTATCAGAGCCCCAAATAAACTGCAATTTTAAATCTTTAAAGAGTTAAACGTCACACTTATCATACAAATTAAATATTAATTAATGCTATATTTATACAGTGAGGTTTTGACAAACCTCAACCACCGCATTAAAACTTGAGAAATATAGAACACTAACATGGAATGTGTTTTCTGAAAGACATTTAGACAAGAAACTATAGAGTAGCTTTGATGAAAACTGTAACAGGATGGCCTGCTTGGTAAAAACATCATCCTGTTATAAGTTTCATCATTAATGGCTCTAAGTTACGCTCATGTGGTGAGGGTATTTTTCATGTTTAAACATTATTTATAAGGCTTTCAGTGCGTCAGACTACGGACCACACATACAACATTAAAGCACTGCTTTTTAATTTCTCTAACATTCATTTTATCTTACTTATTTTAGCTTAATTTACATCACTTTGTGAAAAAAGTCTTCTGGTCATGGGGGGTATTCTTTTGTGGATTGATTTAAGCAACAGTGGCAGTTTGTTTGAGGGATGAACATAAATAAAATCCACTGTTGAGAAGGGAGAGTTCGGCTGAAATCATGTCTTGTGACTGTCATGTGGTAGGAGTTGCTACCAACAAAAAAATCACTGAGTAACAGGATGGAAGAATAGCTGCTAAAAATCAAAGGAGGTATAGAAATGTTCTCTGTTTATTTGAATGAATCAGGAAGAAACCGTAAATGACACTTTAAGTACAACTGGTAATCTGGTGGGGCCTGGGTTTTTCTCAGGACTGTTTCGTCACAAGGTGGTGCTAAGCAGCTTGAAGTAATAGACTGGAAATTCATTGCCTGGAAAAATGTACATAGGTGTCACTTATTGAAAGTCTAGTTTGCTTTAGTTACAGACATACTAAGTCAATGCACATGTACAAATACTCTAGATTATTTTACCATTACTGCATCTCCAATAGGGAAGTCTAAAATGAAATGCAACAAAGGGGAACCAAATAAAATTAAACTGTATGTAACACATTATCATACTAATAATACTATACTTACTATTACTAATTAAAATACCTCATAGTCTTATTATTTACTGTTTAGTTCAGTTTATTACTTTATTTGACAGGGATAGTGCATACTGATAACATTCCTGAAAAGCCTGAAAAGCTCATTTTCATCTGTTGTCCCCCGGCAGGCAAGCACAGACAAAAAGGGAATACAACCCCAATTCCAGTGAAGTTGGGACGTTGTGTAAAACGTAAATACAAACACAATACAATGATTTGCAAATACTTTTCAACCTATGTTCAATTGAATACACCACAAAGACAAGATATTTAATGTTCAAACTGATAAACTTTATAGTTGTTTGCAAATATTCACTCACTTTGAATTTGATGCGTGCTTTCCTTTTAACAACAATAAGCGTTTGGGAACTGAGGACACTAATTGTTGAGGCTTTGTAGGTGGAATTCTTTGCCATTCTTGCTTGATGTACATCTTCAATTGGTCAACAGTCTGGGGTCTCCGTTGTCGTATTTTGCGCTTCATAATGCACCACACATTTTCAATTGGAGACAGGTCTGGACTGCAGTCAGGCCAGTCTAGTACCCAAACTCTTATACTACGAAGCCACGCTGTTGTAACACGTGCAGAATATGGCTCGGCATTGTCTTGCTAAAATAAATGACGTCCCTGAAAAGCATTTTCCATTTTCAGCATTAATGGTGCCTTCAAAGATGTGCAAGTTACCCATGCCTTGGGTACTAACACACCCCCATACCATCACAGATGCTGGCTTTTGAACTTTGTGCTGATAACAATACGGATGGCCCTTTTCCTCTTTGGCCTGGAGGACACGACGTCCATAAATTCCAAAAACAATTTGAAATGTGGACTCGTCAGACCACAGCACACTTTTCCACTTTGCGTCAGTCATCTCGGGCCCAGAGAAGCGAGCGGTGTTTCTGGGTGTTGTTGATATATGGCTTTCGCTTTGCATGGTAGAGTTTTAACTTGCCAACTTGTTGATGTAGTGACGAACTGTGTTAACTGACAATGGTTTACTGAAGTGTTCCTAAGCCCATGTGGTAATATTCTTTACACATTGATGTCAATTTTTAATGCAATGCTGCCTGAGGGATCGAATTTTCGGCATTCAATTTTGGTTTTCAGCCTTGCCGCTTACGTGCAGAGATTTCTCCATATTATCTGAATCTTTTCAGAATCAGAATCAGAATCAGCTTTATTGCCAGGTATGTGTACCCATACGAGTAATTTGACTCTGGATTGTACATTGCTCACAATGTGCTTACTCATACAAAAACACAAAATTACAATAATAAAAATAAAATAAAATCAGACACAGACTTCAGTGTAGACAACACAAATACACACACTATGAACAAAAACAATATAGACATATTGACAAATAGTGCAGTGAGCAGAGTCCAAAGGATGCAGGAGTATGTCGGAGGTGGATGTGATATACAGGTACATATACATGCATACATGTACACATGTAAACAGTGCAATGAAGCATAGTGCAAAGGATGCTGGAATAAATAAGTATAAGTATTTTGTGCAGGAGTAATGACTTGAGGTAGGTGGATCGGTATACAGTATCTACAATATGAAAATATAACAGTATGAACAGCACTGAAATAGAGAATGGTGAATAAATAATAAGTGTTAGCCAGTAAACAGGTGGCTGATTAGAGGCAGAGTTACTGGGTTATTGCACAAAAATTGTTCCTAAGTCTGTTTTTTGAGCATTCCTCAACTTTCCCAGTCTTTTGTTGCCCCTGTCCCAGCTTTTTTGGAACATGTTGCAGGCATCAAATTCAAAATGAGTGAATATTTGCAAAAAACAATAAAGTTTATCAGTTTGAACATTAAATATCTTGTCTTTGTAGTGTATTAAATTGAATATAGGTTGAAAAGGATTTGCAAATGGCCAACTTCATTGGAATTGGGGTTGTATATTATGCTAATTTACAGCTCTATATTTTTTTCAGTTACAATAAAATCCTTATTTATCCTATAATGGCCTTTTATACAGACTCTCAGTTCATCCTCTGTCATCCATGCAATCACCTTATTACAAACTATTTATTTTACTTTTTGCTTAATGATGTTGTTTTGACCAACAATAGTTTATTGATTATTGACAAATATATATTGACATTTACCTCTCCTCCACTCTGTAGGGCAAGAGCTTGCAGGACTTAAAAATCAGGCAAACACATAAAATAAAAAGTGTGCAACGTGTTTCAGCGCCCTCAAGGTAACGTGATAAAGTGGCAAAGTGCTGTCCCGTTCCTGTTTACAGCATTTTGAGCCCTTGCAGCCTCTTGCACTCAATCACTTTGCAAGTGATGTCAGTAAAGTCTGTGGGGGTTCAGGGCTTAGGGTTTAGGGGGGACGTTGGAATTGAGCCTCAGTGCTGTGAACCCGAATTGCCTTGTCCTCACCCCTACAGTAGACGACACCGGAGTGTTTCTGGGAGCTGGTGTAGGTAGGTGTAGGCTCAGTCTAGCAGACCTGTTAAGTTAAAAAACTTTTTTTACTTTATTCACTGATTTTGATGCCACTAAATCATATTTTATTGAGTTTACTAACTGTAACATTAGCTATAAAACAGCATTGTGTTGGCTAAGCCCACGCTGCTTTGAGTGACCAAGGTCCAAATGTATCATGATAAAATTATGAAGATTATTAAGCTAAGGGTTCCCTTGATAAATATGAGTCAGAATAATATGGGTTGTTATACAACACCTGTAGCATGTTGCTAAAATGAACAAACTATTTCATTTATGTTTATTTTCATTTGATTCATGCATTAATTGAATAAACAGCTATTAGCATATTTCCAGTATGTTATTATCGAAACTTTACAACTTTGTCAGGGAATTCTAACAATTCTGGATCTAATAATAATTTGAAAAGTTACTGTGACTTCTAGCAAAGTTTTTTTTCTCTTTGACAAGTACTTGTGTACTCCATGGCCACCCCTGTTCACCAGGGAGTCAGTTAAATGTGTGTACAGTGATCCACTTGCACTGGTACACTTATTCACGGCACTTACACTTAGCTTTATAGTGGTTTGTGTAAATTTAAAAGTTGGTACACATATTTAAAGGGACTGCAAGGATGGCGTATTGGTGAGGGGTGTCTGATCAATTACGGAGGGCCAACTGGGACAAAAATGCAGGGCCAATTTTTTGTCCCAGTCCAGCCCTGAGTTTGAGCACTAGGGGGAGTGTTTACACCACGAGCAAAGGAGCTTTGGACTTCCAGATTATGAGCAGATGACCATATAAGGAAATACCTGCCAATCTGACCAAGTCTATCTATGAGTCCACAGTACTACAGGAGACGCCTAATACATGACACACCCTTAAAACGGTTGCAGTTTGGTTTGGTTTAGGCACCAAAACAACTTGATTAGGTTTGGGAAAACATTTATAATTTGGGTTAAAATAAGTAAATTTATCCAGGAAGTTATCTCATGAGGTGTGTTGTGTAGTAAAGTGGGTGTGTCATGTATTATGTGAGACGACAGATAGACTCTTCTCGATCTGAATTCAGCCAGGCAGGAAAGTAGAAAAAAATG